CGAAATGTTGTACAGAACTCATTGCTTCTGAAACTTCGCCAGTATATAGTTGTTACCTCTCTAAATTGGAGATCAAGTTCAGATCCGATTCAAATCCAGTTTATCACTTACCTTTTTATTGCCAGAATGTTTGCCATGTAAAGCTACGTTGCACAATATAAAAAATTAATGTAACATTTCAAATTTCCACTATGCTATATACTTTTAACCATTTTGATTTGTCAGTAAAATCACGTGATAGTATGTTTGGAAATGCAATATTAAAATTGTTATATTTTAATAAATTTGAAAATTTAATCCAACTTTATCATATATCTTTATAATGGGTCATGTTTCTAAAAGTAAAACAACTTATAAAATCAAGAGAATTTCTAATGGTTTGTTTGGTAGGAAAAGACATAAAATTGATACTGGATTTACTGGATTTAATGAAAATTTAAATGAATATATTAGAGGTTGGAATCATCCAAAAAATCCCTAGTTAATTACTAGTTGGTCAAAAAATTTCTTTAGTTGAGTATTATTTAGTCAATTATTTTAGTCAACTAGTTAGTTGAATAAAATTTTTTTTATTGGTTTTTTTTTTAATTTGCAAATTACAAATTCATTTTCATTTGAATCTTTCACTTTTTCAAAACACTTTCACACAAAACCATGTGTTATGATTCATTTTTTTAAAGGTCTTCTGGAGCCACTACTTAAATCATTGGAACTTGAAGCCAATGAACTATTGGACCTTGTATTGGAAGTGTTTATTCATTCACATGTAAAATTATCATCGACAACACACTACTATTGTCGTCATCATCATATTGATGGTATTAATACTCTTCCGCATAGAAATTTTCCATTCTGAATGATAAAACACAAAATTGTAATTGATCAGACAATAATAATATTAGCATAGTATTAGTATTAGTAGTATTAGTAGTTGACTAATTAGTCGACTAAAATAGTCAACTAAATAATCAATTAAAATAGTTGACTATTAGTTGTTCAAAAAAAAGTTT